CATGTTAAAACCTCAATTTGTCCATTGTTTGAAGACCCGTTTAATGACTCTTCATTTGCTTCATGTTAGTAAATAAACAGTGAAGGGGGTCAAAAAAGTTGGAAAATTAAAAACTAGCCCTCCTTACCTCTCCTCAGTCACTTTAGCTTAAGGCTTTCACTTGGACACAGTTTGACTATGGTGGTTTGACATGGACACACCACAAAAGCTTGTTCAAACAGAATCTCTTATTGTTTAAAAAATCTTCAGTAATGTATTTTTTTATTGAGGTAATGAATATTTTTTTAAATTTATCTTTATTGTTGAAAGTATTACAGATATCCCCCTTTCTTCCCCCATTGATCCCCTCCCCCCTCTCCAGGCCTTCACCACACTATTATCTGTGTCCATGGGTCATGCATATACGCATATAAGTTCTTTGATTAATCTCTCCCCCTCCAAACCCCACCCCTGCCTGCCCACTGAGATCCCTCAGTCTGTTCCATGCCTCCATGTCTCTGGATCTATTTTGTTCCTCAGTCTGTTTATTAGATTCCACATATGAGTAAGATCATGTAAAACTGAATCAGGAAGAATCAGGAAACCTGAATAGGTCAATAACAACTGATGAAATTGAAGCAGCAATTAAAAAAACTCCCAGCAAACAAAAGCCCTGGTCTGGACACCTTCACAGGGGAGCTTTCTAATTCTTTAAGTTGTAGAGTTAGATAGTTTACTACAAATTTTTCTTGCTTTTTGAGGGAGGCCTGCAGTGCTATGAACTTCCCTCTCAGGACTGCTTTCACTGTGTCCCATAGATTTAGGGTGGTTGTATGTTTATTTTCATTGGTTTCCAGGAAGTTTTTTATTTCTTTCTTGATCTCTTTGGTAACCTATTCATTGTTTAATAACATGCTATTTAGTCTCCATGTGTTTGAATGTTTTTGAGTGTCTTTACTGTAGTTGCTTTGTAATTTCATGCCATTGTGATCTGAGATGTTTGATATGATTTCAGTCTTCTTGAGCTTGTAGAGACTTGTTTTGTGTCCTAACATGTGGTCTATCTTTGAGAGTGACCCATGTGCACTTGAGGGGAATGTATATTCTGCAGCTTTGGGGTGAAATGTTCTGTAAATGTCAATTAAATCCATCTGATATGGTGTGCCATTTAGTCACTGTTTCTGTGTTGACTTTATGTCCGGAAGATCTATCCAGCGAAGTCAATGGGGTGTTAAAGTCCCTGACTGTGACTGTATTGCTGTTGATCTCTCCCTTCAAGTCCTTTAGGTTATTATTGATAGGTCCTTATTTATTGCCATTTTAATTCTTTATGCCTATGTTTCTCTCTCTGTTTCTTCTAATGACAGCAGTCCCTTTAACATTTCCTGCAATGGTGGTGATAAACTCCTTTAGCCTTTTTTTTTTAATCTAGGAAGCTCTTTATTTCACCATCTATTTTGAATGATAGCCTTGCTGGACAGAGTAGTCTTGGTTTCAGATCCTTGCTTTTCATTACCTTGAACACTTCATGCCATTCCCTTCTGGCCTGTAGAGTTTCTGATGAGAAGTCAGCTGACAACCTAATGGGAGCTCCTTTGTAGGTAACAGATTGCTTTTCTCTTGCTGCCTTTAAGATTCTCTCTTGTCTTGAATTTTTGACATTTTAATTATGATGTGTTCTACCTCTTTGGGTTCTTCTTGCTTGGGATTCTCTGTGCTTCCTGAACTTGTGTGACTTTTTCCTCGATCAGGTTAGGGAAGTTTTCTGCTATTTCTTCAAACAAATTCTCTACCCCTTGCTTATTTTATTCTCTTCTTCTTCTGGCATTCCTATAATATCGTTACATGTCGTGTTGTCCCACAGCTTCCTTAGACTGTCCTCCTGGTTTTTGTTTTGGGTTTTTTGGGGGTGTTTTTTTGGAATCTCTGATTCAGTGATTTTTTTCTGCCCTGTCTTCTAATTCTTTGATCTGATCCTCAGCATCCTCTAATCTGTTGTTTATTCCTTCCAACGTATTCTTTATTTCTGCTATGTCATTCTTAATTTCCTTCATAATTTCCATATCTTTTCTCATACTGTTGAGCATCCTTACCGTCAGTATTCTGAACTCTATATCTGATAGTTTGCTTATTTTCATTTCATGTAGTCTTTTTCTGGAGACTTCTCTTGTTCTTTCATTTGGGGCTTGTTATTTTGTCTCTCCATTTTGGCTGCCTATTTGGGTTGTTTTTGTGTATTAAGTGGATCTGCTAGGATCCTCCTTTTTGGAAGGTCTCTGGTGCAGGCCGTTGTCAGACGCTGTTTGTGACTGGCCTTGTTTGGAGCTATCAACAACCCATGGTTTGTGGTTCCCTCTGTTGGGGTTGGGTGTGTTTGGACAGGACCAAGATGCACACTGAAATCTGCTTTTCCAAGGCCCAGGTCCAATAATGTATTCTTAAAAAATAATACGAAATACATACACACACACACAGGAGAAAAGTGATGATATGTCCTGGAGCAAACACTCTGGAGGAAATTCTTTGTTTAGGTTTGAAGAGTCAAAGCTGTGTGTTTGCTTAATAAGGCATAATTTTTTGGAAACATGTTAAAAATAAAAACTCTTCCCTTTTTTTGTTCCAATCTGTGGACTAACAGCTGTCGACTTGCTGGAGAAGATGCTTGTACTGGACTCGGACAAGAGAATCACAGCAGCCCAAGCGCTCGCACATGGCTACTTTGCTCAGTACCATGATCCTGACGATGAGCCGGTGGCCGACCCTTATGACCAGTCCTTCGAGAGCAGGGACCTCCTTATAGACGAGTGGAAAAGTAAGGCATAAAGGCAGCATTAACATCTAGCTTGAGAACTTAGATTTGAAAATCATTCCTGGGTGAGCTGCTAACTAAAAGCTGTGGAAAAATAAAATTTCTGGCTGTAACCAGCTCATTAAAACTTGTGATCAGGGTCTCGTGCAGAGTCAGTGTGCCCCTCTGTTGGAAACTTGAAGATGGTCACACTCTCCGAGCTGTGAGATGCTCATGACTGCTCTAATTTTGCGCACAGCCCCTCACTTCTGCCTAGATCTTTGAGGTTCTCAGAATCTTTCTCTTTACAGCATCTCTCTAAGATGAGTAGGGGAAGGGATATTTTTACAGTTGATACAATTGAGGCAAAAAGAGTTTATCTTACCTGTTACCTTAGACCTAGTTAGGGACGCAGCCGGAAATGGAACCTATGTCTCCTGTGTGTAACCTCATATTCTTTCCATGAAACACAAGTTCAGAATGCCAGGTAGCTGCCCAAAGCCAGGCTTTTCTGTTGCTGTAGCTTGTGGGAGTTATTCTTAGCTTTAAAGAAGAGGCACTGGGCAATGACCGAAACAAGGGGAAAATGGATTTTTATATGTGTTCTTGAACTTCTGTGTAATCGCTTGATCCATTAGGATATCATACACAAGCAGCAAATAGTTCCTTGAAGTGGCCCTCCAAGCACTGGCCTGGACAGGGAGGGAGGGTCTGAGCCTGGAATTACAATGCCTGCCGGCAAAGAGAATCTCCTGAACTCTCATGCCCTGCTTTCCTTCCAATCCCTAGGCCTGACCTACGATGAAGTTATCAGCTTCGTGCCTCCACCCCTTGACCAAGAAGAGATGGAATCCTGAGCACCTGGTTTCTGTGCTGTTGCTCCCATTTCACTGTGAGGGGAAGGCCTTTCACGGGAACTCTCCAAATCTCATTCAAGTGCCTCTCGTTGCAAAGATCTCCTCCATGGTGGAAGGGGTGTGTGCGCGTGCACGCATGTGTGTTAGTGTTTGTGTGTCTGTCTGTCTTTGTGGGAGGGTAAGAGACTATCAGCAAACTATGATCACAGTGGCTTTCCGTGGAGTTCCAGACGCCCATGGCAGCCTCTGCTTGCGCTTCCTCGTGAGTCAGCTCAGGCAGGCAAGAGCTGCCATCGTGTTAGGGTTTGTTAAATGCACAGTAAAAATATTAAACGTCCCACATCCCAGTCATGCTTTTACCATTTTGGCCTCTCCTGTGGCCCCACCTTGATGGTGGGGGGCCACCTCGACCACAGGAGCTGCTTCAGATCGGGAGCGTCCCTCAGCGGTGCGTGCAGCCAACAAGGACCAACTGGCGTCTGTGCACTAGTCTAAGAAGAACTTGCTTTGTGATTCTCAGAACTCAGCAGGTGTATCTGGAACTATAAATATGTTTGTGCCTTAAAAGGAGAGAAGATCGTGCGGCAGATGAAGCTCTGAGCCAGGCGAGTAGTCGGCTTGTTGGACGGCCACTCGTGAAACAGGGAGCCTCGGAGGCACCGTGTGTGCGTGTGTGGGCATGCATGTCTGTGCTTCCCTCTCAGCCCCCATTTCTCTGCTCACCCCACCTTCAGTGCAGAGGCCTCCTGAGCATTGGCCCCGGAGCCAGAGCCGGTTCTCGCTGCTCGTGTACTTCCTGTGTGCTCTCTCTTCCTAGCAGGGTGGCGATGTGTTCTGCACGTCTTGCTGTTTGAGCATGCACAGCTGCTTGTCCTGTTTTTTTGGGAGCCCCTGGTGCCAGGCGAGTTTGCCAGTGAGGACTTTTTGGGTAGTTCAGAACTCATGTCACCTTGGCTGATGCTGTGGGCAGGTGACATCATCTTCTCATCAGCCCCCAGTGCTATTTTGTGTTGAACACAATTGATACTCCAGGTGCTTTTGATGTGAAAATTATGAAGAAATGGAACAGATGGATATATAGCATTTTCTTTCTTGCCATCTGGTTTTCAACAGACTGTTTTTGGGGAGCCATCACGGGAAAGATAGGGCTTTTCCCAGGAATATCTCCGACTTTGGAAAACACGTTGTTCCCGTCCCTCCCAGTAACCAATGCTAAGAAATGCCGAAATCAAGTGAAAATAAAAACGCTCATGAGGCCAGAACTCCTTTGCTATTTTTGTCTAAATAAGGTTATTTTTTAAGGAAAGTAATGAGGTGTCTTTTCCACCCTCTCTGGGAAAGGGTCTTCTTGGCAGCTTACCGTTGACTTCTTGGTCTCAGTTTAGGGAGAAATGAATTTTGTATATTGCGGGAATCCTTTGAGAGTGTGATTCCTTTGGATGGGGAGAAAGGGCAGATTATTTTAATATTTTGTATTTTCAACTTTATAAAGATGAAATATCCTCAGGGGTGGAGAAGAGTTGTTTTCATAATTTTCTGAATTTCAGGCATCTTGTGCTAGATGAGGGCCATGTATTTAAACCTTTTGTGAAATGAGAAAGTGTAAAGCCACTTCCAGTGTTGGCCACGTGACAAACCTCGTACTGGGGCCAAGGGTTTCCATTTCTGTCACAGTGCAGTGCTCGTAGCCCAGAGGGACAGGTAGGGCCCACGTCCGCCGGGGCGAGAGGCAGGAGGCAGGCCGGCGGCAGGCGCGCTGCACCCAGGATGGTGCCCTCCTTAGAGGAAACGAATAGAGGCCTCGTCTCCTCGGTGCGCAGTTCAAATCGCCACAGCCCACGGCAGGACGAGTTCGTCGGCATGTTGGGCTGTAAGTGCCGGTGTGGTTTCCGATGGACACGCTGCTCTGAGTCCTTCCCATCAAGGCCTTTGCAGTTGCGACCCTCCGGTTAGGAGGCTGACGGCGCCTGGAGCCCGGACTCAGCAGGCGGCTGCCCCTGGGGCCCAGAGTCACGCTCCCACCTCCTGGTTCCTCTGAGCGGAAAGCAGACGAGGGAATGCGGGAACTGCCATTTTATTTGTACTCATGAACTTGGCCATAATCAGTTATGCCCTGTAGGACATCATACAATACCACTGGTCAAAATAAAGCCTATTTTTCAAATTTAGTGAGTGTCTCCACTTTATCGTCGTTTTCTCTTGATGGTTTTTCTTTACTGCTCAATACGGTTTTATAGCAACGTCCTTTCAACTGTGGCCTCACGTTCACTTCTGACAGATCTTAATATTACTCCTAAAATTTAGAAAACATTGCTAGAGCTCCTCGGCTGTACGTTTATGGTAAAGCAGATCTGAGACTTAGAAGCGAAGGGGTAAAGCGGAGAGCAAATTAACTATAACGCGGCAGGCCCTCTGCTGCTGCCCTTTGGGGTCAGAGTGGCCTAGGATGGGGTCAGACTGAAAATGGTTTTTACATTTTTAAATGGTTGGAATAGGAACAGTATTTTTGTAGCTTGTGAAAAATAATATTGTAAAATTCAAATTTCAGTGCCCATAAATAAAGTTTCATTAGGACACGGTCACACATCGGTTTAGGTATTGTCTGGCTGCTTTGGGGAAACAGTGAGAGCTGAATAGTTGCGGCAGAGACCATGTGGCCTACAGCGTCTAGAAGTTACACTTTTGCAGAAAAAGTCTGCCGACCCCTGGCCTAGGATATCCATTTCCTCATTTGTAAAAGGAAGTTTTTTTAAAGTAGGTGTTTGGGTTCCGTTCAGCTTTGACATTCCAAGACTATCCGTAGAGAGTATGTTTTTCTTTTAAATTTTCGATGTGTACCTCTGTGTACATTGTTTATACACCTTTTTAATCTTTTTATTAATCCTTACCCGAGGATAATTTTTACATTGATTTTTAGAGAGAGTGGAAGGGCGAGGAGGAGAGAGGGAGG